AGAACTTTAAGTTTCACTAGGGAATCGAAATTTTTGATCACTATTTTCGGAGGACTTCGATTGTGTAGATACAGCTCACTCAGGGCCTATGCTCCTGTATGACACATTATAGTGTGCTGCAAGCAATCTGTGCCCAAAAGGTTATAAAAGCCTAATTGCGTCACAGGTACCCAACACTTGACTAGGTAAATTAGTGTTCACCGCTACCGAACTAATCAATACGTTACCTGCACGCAAGTACTAATGACAAAAAACAAACTAGGAGACATTATACGGTACTCGCTTCCCAGACGAACAGATTATTTGCATAGGGTAAAGAGGTTATTTCTGCAGACGAATGTTGAACTCATTTGCTTCTATTGGCTGATCATGAGGAGCGCGACCTTGGCCGATGGAAGAGTGTTTGCGAACTCCTGGGAACCTCTCCCTGAAGTCCATCTCTTCAACGTCTAGCGCATGGTAAGTTCTCCCCCAAAGGCTCTCCTAGACCTTTAAGAGTGTCTCTGGATAGTGCACGTCAGTCCAAGCGCATCCTTCTGAAAGGTCATCAGTTGGTGAAACGTGAACTGTCTGACGTCAGGATTGGGCCTGACAGACCCTGGTTGGTATGAGAACCTCTTCGCAACAGCAAGAAGATTCATTCTCAAGAATTATGCTTCTCAGTAATCATACACGAGATTCCCGAATGTTCGGGCACCGATTCTGCCGAACTTATCCACGACATAAGTCAGTGGAGGTATATTGTAAGCAAACTCGAAATCTATGTGAGGGCCAAAAGAATTAATCGTCTTCCAAGGCCGGCTCACCTGCCGACTATTCACACTCCCAGGCTACTCCAAGTGACCCTTGACTCTCCGGACATGGTCAGAACTACCTTGGAATCCTGGTATAATGCATCTGACACATTCCCTAGACTAATAAAGATAAGTAAGTGCAGACCCAGGGAACAATGGCGAACTGAGGGGCGATTCAAGCGCTTACCGTTGGCCAACCCACATCTAACGATAGAACTGTTGGACGATGAGCAAGAGTTTTTATCGACCCTGTCTCAGATCGGAGAACCCTGCACCAGTTCTCAGTCAGAGATCAGTGGATATATTAACCCTTGGTTCCACCACCCTATCAAAAAACTTGTCAAAGCCGGCCATTTAAAGGCTGCCAACTCACCCTTAATTCAGTCGGTTTCTGGGACCTCCGGCCCTCATACTCTCATTCGCTGTACCTACAGTAATGTACGAGGCCTACGCTCCAAGGTACCTGAGGTAAGGTTACTAGTGGATGAGGATAGCCCTAGCATGATGGCTTTCTGTGAAACATGGCTATCAGAGAGCACAAGAGACGAGGAAGTTTGTTTAGGACAGCTCAGCCTAGTCCGAAGGGATGGACCGGAGGGTCCAGAAGGTGGCGTTGCTCTTTACACCTGCCCTTCCTTAAGATTCCATGAGATCAAATCTCATGGAGTTGTCATCAAAGATGTTCTCTGGCGTAGTACTAAGTGTTGCGGAGGTCCATGTTTAGTTAGAGTCTTATACCCTCCTGCGGCTGATGCCACTTTAAATAAAATGTTAATACAGTCCATTAGAGAAGCACTGGAACCGAACTTCCCTCAGGTCCTCACCATGGGAGATTTTAACTGTCCTTAACTCTGTACCGTGGAAAGTCCATCCACTGCTCTAAAAGACTTTCGTGAGTTGTTACTGGAAAACTCCTTGATAGAACATGTTTCCTAGTGTACTCACTGGGGACTTGACGGTAAGGCATCCCGATTAGATTATATTTTGACAAATCAGTTCACTGGAGTAGGCGACTTGAATGTTTTCAGCCCTCTTGGCCTGAGTGACCATGCAGTCATCTCCTCCAATATTTCTGTATCTGAGCCACCCGTTCCCGATCAACCACTAGTCCGGAATTGCAAGAGAACTGGTTTCGAGAAGGTTCAGCAAGTTCTAGAAGGTTCCGCTTGCCTAAATTGCCATGACCTACTGGATCTTGGTGCCAGATGGGATCTGCTGAAGAATATAATCCTCCAGACGATAAAAGACAACACTTCTCTCATTCCAAGAAGAACTAAGAAGTTCTACTCCTCCTGGCTTAAGTCAAGCACGCGCAAACTATTACGGCGTAAACGGTTGTCTTGGAATCTATGGAGGTGCGCCAATAGCCCTTTTGACTGGCTAAATAACAAAGATATCCGTAACAAATGTACAATAAGGATCAGAAATGACAGAATAAGCCAACAGACACAACTCTGTAGAACCCTGGAGGGGAATCATGAGATACTGTACTAGCTGATGAAACAGAAGAGTAACAGTTCACTTAGTTTACGGGACCCCACTAGTTTGGAGATTCTCTATTCCAACTCTTAAGTTACAAACCTACTAGCTCATGAGTTCCAAAACAACTTCTGTCATTTGGGATGCAAAACCACGCCTCTATAGGGTACCCGTATTACAGAGGGACTAAACCGCATAGAGTTTAAACCCTCTGTAGTTACGGAAATATTAAAGAAACCGAACCCAAGTAAGTCTCCGGGATTTGATGGGAATCACCCAACAACACTCAAAGAGTGTGCTGAAGTTCTATGCACCTCACTAGCAAACCTCTTCAAATGCCCGTTTCTGGAAGGCAGGTTATCCTCTGATTGGAAACGGGTGGCTGTCGTCCCAATTTATAAAGGTGGAAACAAATTGCTTGCCTCCAACTACAGACCGGTCTCCCTGTTCTCTTCAGTTGCGAAGGTCATGGAGAGAGTCATAAATGACTCACTTCATGATCACTTACTTCAGAAATCAATCCTAAACGACTGCCAGCACGGCTTTCTATCAGGAGGGTCATGTAACACCAACTTGTTGATGGCTTGGAATAGCTGGACACTCCCTGTCGAGCAGAAAAAGCCTATAAACATTGGTTTACTTGACTTTTCTAAGGCCTTCGACAGAGCCAATCAAAATATCCTTTTTAAGAAACTTCAGCTCATGGGTGTACACTGAAAATTATTAATTTGGCTTAGAGATCATCTGTACACCAGGGTGAAGTCAGCTAGAGTTGGCTCCTCTCTATCTAATTGGTTTTCGATGCTGAGTGGTGTGCCTCAAAGTTCTATGCTGGGCCAACTGCTGTTTCTTGCTTTTATCAATGATCTACCAGGGGTCCTTAATTCACATTCACTATTATATGCCGATGACCTGAAGATTTGGGGGGAAATACAGGAACCAACGGATATTTCGATCTTCCAGGAGGACCTTACGAAAATCCCTCACTGGACTTCAGAAAACCTGCTTCCCTTCAACTCGAAGTGTCGAATTACGATAGTTGACAAACATAAAGGCAGCCCCAGTTCTTACTCTCTAGGTGAAATTAATATCTGTCACTCTAACATGGAACAAGATCTTGGAGTTAAACTAAACGATATACTAGGGACCTCAGTTCACTGTCGCCTTGCAGCCAATATTGCTTATGGATTCCTGGGGTTTCTCTCACGAACTTTAGGGTGTGTAACTCCTTCTCTTTTCACCATAGTATATGCTCTGTACATTCACCTTCATCTAGAAAAAAATCTGCTTGTGGTGTCCCCATACTTGAAAAAGGACGTAGCCATCCTAGGACGAGTACAGGGAAAGTGATTGGGCTACGGCACAAACCGTACCAAGACCGCTTAGTTGCTCTTCGGCTGCACCCAGTACAATGCCGGAGGATCAGAGGGGATATGATCATGAGGTACCACACTGACCATAATCCCATCCATCCTAACAAATCCCTTCTAAGCTTTAGTCGGAAACGCTACTTGAGGGGTCACCAGTTAAAAATAGAGCATGAGAGAGCACGTACAAAGATCCGTGCTAACTCATTTGCAGTTAGGGTCTGTAAACTTAGCAATTCCCCCCTTCAGCAGTTGTTACAGCCCCATCCCTTGATACTTTTAAAAGGAGGCTAGACACACACCTCGAGTCCTGCGGTACCGATGGGCTGTACTAGAGCAGCTTTCCCCAGATCAGATGCGGTAATACTGCCTTGAGACAAGATCAATTAATGAATCGTATCTCTATCTGTTCAGGTTCTTCAGAACCAGGAAGATGATTTTGACCATCTCAAACTCAGAACGTATTCCAATAAGACAGACGCAGAACCCAAGGAACCGCCGTTCACTAATTCTACAACACGAAGTTTGAAATTTGAAGTTTGAAGTAAGGCTAAGCCAGTAACTCTCAGCTCTTTGCTAACGATTAACACGAGGGAGACGCAGAAATGGTGACGGTTGACTGGCGAACGCCTGGATGCTAAAGTAAAATTGCAAAACTAAGGATATCCGGTGACTCCGTAGCAGATAATTTAGCTATGATAAATGTCGTTGATGCCTACTTAACAACTTCAAACTAAGGATTATTTTGGTGCCACCTTTTGCTATCCCCTCATTTGTACACAGGCTAACAAGCACAAAAAGAAGTGTTCCACGGATTCAAGACATGGAAGTCAGTTAAGTGAGATATTATTCCATTCCGTCAACAACCACTTGAACCCTTCGCAGGTACACTACATGATATTCATAAAACACGCCAATGAGAACTATCGTTTACACTCACAGGTTTAAGAGGTTACGGGTAGTAAAGCAGAAAACTTTGCCACTGTTACTCAAAATGACTACGACATATTCTTGAAATACATAAACAAATGGCCACTTTGAGCAACCGCGCGTATTTAGGATCTGTAGTGACCTCTGCGACACTGCTGACTTCCCTGCTATCCACTTTCTGGTTCCCATTTTCAAACTGTCTAATATTTCGCTGTGAATTGTTACCGTTGTTCAGTTGTCTATTATTATCAAGTGTTAGTGCATTTTTTGTGCTTTCTGAGTCACTGGCTCACGCCGTCTTCTTTTCCCTTTTAGATTCTCGTTCTGAGCAAACTTCCTTCTCCAAACTTACACCTGCCTGCAAACTCCTCTGCAACAGCGTACTTACAGAATAGACGAAAGCTTCCGAACATTTGGTCATTGCAGTGCGATGAAGCGTAGTAAACGCAGAGTTGACCAATCCCCTTCGTCGTCAACACCGGTAGTACCACGACGTAACTTGGAGCTCTCCCCTCTTTTTTCATACGGTATTCGAGATTCTGATACAGATAATTCTGCGGAGCACTTTGGATTACCAGTTTCTCCGCCCTCATCAAAGCCTCGTTTTTCATCCATTAGGTATTCTCCTCTAGAAATTGATGCGCAGCCAAATAAAGAAAACGTGAGCAGCATATATCATAACTTCAGCCAGGATACTTCTTCACCTGATGGCGGTGTATGCCATCCAGATTTGTCGGACAGGTCAATCGCCAAAACCTTTTTAAGTGACCACTTGCAACACAGCTTTTCCTTTGCTCGCCATATGGAACAACGTGCTCTCCTTTGGTCTACGCGTATCAAACAGTCAGTGAGCCTATCTATGAGTCCACGTCTGCTTTTCCAGCCGGAGGCTTGCGCGTCATCTGATGCTGTTGATTCTGCTTCAGAACGGAAGAAGCTTTTAGCAGTTGACGATCTAATACTGCAGTCATATATGACAATCAGCAGACAAACAGTGTCAACTGTAGAAAGGTATGCCCGCCTTGCAGTCGTTTGTCCTGAGCTTCTGAGTCGCCGCACGGTGAATAGATTTATGAGACAGTGTACACCAGGGGAAGAATGCCGGCAAGAACGACCTAGCGGTACAAACCCTATTTTCAACTGCAGCTAGTAAGTGTAGAATTTCTGATTATAAGCAAATAAAAAGTCTTGCAGGGTCATTTTCGAACGTTGTCGATATTTGTCGGACAAGACTGGCTGTACTATACAAAGCTCGGCATCGACTAAGTGGCGTATTATATTGCTTGAAGCGATCGCGCTGTGACTTTGAATTGGAACATTTCAACGGCAGGTTAGTTAGTTGCACCAAGCATAAATTCGTTTTTGGTCAAAGAAGTAACTTAAAACTGGATAAGTCCCCAACTGTTTTGTTAAGAAGCTGTTTTATTTTTCCGACTAGTCCCGCTATTAAGCCTAGAGCTATTCTCTAGTTTGACGTTTTAAATGCCGAATCGCATAAAGATCCCTTAGATATCACGATCGCAATATATGTCTCGAAAAGTATTTTGATGGAAGGTAGATTGCTGAAACTAATCTATTCATCGAGTTAGCTGTGGAAATTCCAATGAAAATATCGAAAATCTTAAGTGACATATAAAAACACGTAGAATGTTTCTCAGTGACTTAAATGGCCTCAATTGATAGCATTCCGCCACCACTTTTGGGAAGAATTAAGGTTTCCTAGGTAGGATGTTTCATGCGGGTCAGAAGCCTACATCGTTTAAAATCTTGCTTTTCACAAAGGTAAATGTAAGACTAACTACAGAAAGCCATCATCAACATACCGGTCCAACATTTTTCCAGTGTTTTGATCATACTGCAAGTTCTGTCTCACAAGCGATAAGATGGTGCCTTTACCAATCATTAGCTCAGAAACCTCCGGGTTTTCACCCAGCCTAAACTGTGCACTATCATTCTCCGCTGCTGCATTGTGTATTTTTCCATTAAACACTATTGCTCATGGTCATTGTGTGACATTTATACAATCAGTTCCGTAAGATGCTTCAACTGCAAACCAATTTTAGCATATAGTATAGTATATCACTTAAGAGTAGCACAGCATAGCCAAACTTTGAAGTGATCTATCTTGTGTCATTCTTTGAAAAAACAGTTATCAGGATTTTCATTAGCCATTGATCTTGATACTTGCACAGCTCACGTGGACTTAAATATAAGGACTCAGCGAAGTGAATATACCTGCTGTTTTTATTTTGGCTGCAAAATTCAGATACACTTTGTCGAAATTTTGTATACGGTGTGGAATTTTCCGGGGAGTTTACAAGTAAACTGCCTTTTCTCTTACATGAGCATTGTCAAACTGTGGTAATTTAATAAACTTGGACATAATAACCTTTTTGTATATGGTCTACATTACAAGATATAACAAGCTGGCCCACTCTAGACCATTTAGGATAGAGTTATCAGACAAACCTCAAAATGAAAATTGGTGAGTTTCTTCATGCAAGTTGCTTCCTATTTTAGCAGAGTTTAAATCTTATTTTAACTTCTGACTTTGGGTTCCATATCCCAGTCGCACTGACACTACTACATCACTTAACTTACTTAAGAAACCAAAGTAGAACCGTACACAAGTGTATCAGCTCAAACTGCAACACTTCACAGTAATTCACAAAAGCAGGTGAAAAGAAAAGCAGTGATATCACGTAGATAAAGTAGTAAGAGAGGATAAACAATTTGCAGATAAAGAGTAGTGTGAATTTTCAAGCTCTAGATGTCAAAGAGTCAATACATTGTACCATTGTAGTCTATTTTTAGCCATTTCACCAAGAGTCATCAACCATTGATTCCTTTCCTCTCGAGGATTCAACCAAGCAATCTACATCTCTTCTCATACAGCTCACGCCAACAGTAAGAGACTTCATCGACTGGTGACACTTCTTGGCCTGGTCACTCTGAACTCTCTTCCAACCTAATCCAACTTCCCTACAATGGCACGTCGAAGTAGACGGTGACTCGGCACGCGCAGTACATCTCCAAGTCATCTCAGTCGACGCAGGTTCACAACGTCGTCAATCAATTTGCCTTTCTTGCCTAGTATCCTTCACCTGACCTCAACATTGCCTCCCACGGTGATTCCATCACAAGCAAGCAATGGTACAAAGACAACTATGATCAGAACACTGCAACCAGTTCATGTCCCTTACTTTTAATGGCTGTCTTACAGCTGTACAATAGAACAGAGCCAACTGCGGTGCAGTATACTCGGCCTTTGATAGATGGTCGGATATCTGGCCAGTCAACGCCACAGATACCACAAGTTAACTAATGCCAAACGGGTCTTCTGTATCCGCGCAAAGATCTCGTCAGAAATCAGCCTGTTCGGACTAATGCAACTTCCCAAGTAAGTGAGGTGGTCGGCACATTCCACCATTTCACTCCCTATCATTAAAAGAAGTGGTTGCAGACCAGCCTTGGAGTATCACCATATATTTCACATAGGCGGAGCGTATGCCAAACATACTCAGATTTCTGCTCAACACGTCACAAGACCCTGTATTTTGTCAGCGTCTTCCCCTAGGAGAATAATATCAACCAGATATACCTCTAGGAAGGTCAATCCCTGTGAAGTCAGGTGTACATAGGGTTACGTCCATTAGAGTACGTCTATAACGAAGTTAAATTGGAACGGTGACAGTTGACATCCCCGGCGGACACTACTACAACACCTCATGGTCAACAAGGGCCGCCTTTGGATCAAGACATATGCCAAGTGTCGGCCATTGACCGGTAGGCATGCCTGTATTCCAGAACCTGACAAGTAATGAAGATCTGATGGATACACTCTCGTCCAGGCCAGAAACCTGCCTGATTTTCTCGAGGTTGCTGTTCTTGAGCTCCAGTTTGGCATTAGATAACTGTGGACCCAAGGATCTTGGATACAATATTAGTCAAACTATTCCCCCTATGGTTGTTGCAGGAAGACTTCTCTCCCTTCTTATAAACTGAGATAATAAGTGAAACAGACAAATATGATGGGACTATAACTACCATACACTACCTAGTGCCCCCCGTCACTATAATCGGCAATTTCCATCCATCCATATTTAAGAACTTCATGCTTTGAATTTAGTACTGGGTAAAACCTAGTGATTTTTAGACCAATTGCGACAGGCGATCAGCGTTGTCGGTTTGTTGGCATGGCAATCTGTATATACCCTTAGTATGCCTTTCTAAATGGCTCAGATGAGCTATATCTGAACGTTTTATTTTCTGTAGCAAAATTCACAACGTCTGATAAATTTATCCTTTGCAGCATCCGAAGTGCAGTCGTTGGGTGCATCGGTGGAGGTCGCGAATAGACATCGCTTAGTCTCCTGATGTTTCCTAGTCATTAACACGTAAACGGCTGTTGACTGATATCCAGTCGAGAATCGCACTTTTTACACTACGACTCATTGCCGATTATACAACTGCGAGTCAACCAGAGCCTGGCTACTGGATCTCCTGATACTCGTAAAGTGAAATTTGAAGGTCCACTTGCAATAGCCAGGTGAGGTAAAGTAAGACATACTTAGATCCTGTATGCCTGTTTGAGAAACACAGCATAAGAAATCTTAAAAAATAGCTCGGTTATAATTTAACAGACTGTCATACAACCACACAATAGGGCGGGGCAGAGTGATGGCTCTTAAAAGTAATCTAGTTAGGTGTAGAGTGACATTGATAATCATATCTTTGATTACCGGATCAACATCAAATGTGTACAACAGGGACGACTCAGCATGTTTCAGATGTGAAGTAAATCTCACTATCTGTATAGATAAAGAGATTGAATCAGAAGTATACAATCATGTCTCATTTCTGTGGAGTAACCTCAATACAACTGTAGATGATAAATCATGTTTGAAAAGTAAACCACCAGTCACTTTCATTGTATGATACGCCTCAAAAATCATCTGTAAAGGAATCGTACTTAACTAGAGCCCAAGTTTCATTCTGAAATCATATGAGTAGTAGAGCGGTATGACAGCTCTAGGTTATGTAGGTAGTCAGGTGATCAGGTTGTGAACCGTCATCGTTTGAAACAAATGGCAACTGTTCTTCTTACTTTGTGTTCCCCATAGTGAAATGTTAACTGAAGTCTGGACGTAACCAGACGAACACATTCCGATCCATGCGATCTTTGTTCGTTAATCCTGGCCGTTTAGGGAATGAGTTTTTATGGTTGCTGTTCGCGAGGCAACGCCTGTTTACCCTTATTTCAGTCAGTGTCTCATTTTCTGCTTTCATTTATCCCATGACCTTTGAAACTAATGACAATATTATTTACCTTTTTTCATCTCCATTGTTAACTACTACATAAATTTACTGTGTGATGTGGTGATTCGGCCGCTTAGTATTAATATCAAGTTCTTCATCAATACCACCTTTCTTTTTGACTCCCATTCACTCTTGTAGTAAACATCAATAAACAGCCAGCATTATGTAACCGTTTGTTAGGGAAAATTGTCATATTCATTTTAACACCTTATATTTTGACATGTTCATGTCTATAGAACCAAAGTTAATTGATACACCTGATTCGTTCTTTTCCAGTTCATCGGCTGAAATGTTGAATGAAGTGCAAGCCTTGTCATTGCTCCAGCACACGAATATTATTCGGTTTTTCGGTTCGTGGTATGAGGCAGATTCTGTTTATGAACAACTGGAGCTGTGTTTAGGAGGAAGCCTTTTTCATTTGCTCCATCCAGATAGGCAGCATGACACTTCTGAAGTGGTGTCATTTGTCTCGCAAACCAACCACGTTGATGGTGAAGGACATACTTCTCCAAGCGATACAAACGGTAATCGTCTCTCCGAGAAACCACTGATTATACTGGCGTCCCATGTTCTCAGTGCTCTTCACTATATGCACACTAATTGGTCTATGGTTCATGGTGATGTTAAGCCAAGTAATGTCTTGATTCAGTTGAGCAGACCAGAAGCTTATCTAGCGTCTGCGAAAGACTGTATAGAAATGGACGCCAAGTGTCACTGTTATAAGGTTAGTTTTCTGGTGAACATTTTATGTCAGGTTGATGATTCACTGCTGAAATATGGTGTATCCATCCTCTAACAGTTTTGTTATCTAGTGATGCTATAGCCTCTATCTGTAATTATTACTATTTTGATAGTTTGGTCCGTTAACCTAGTAATTCAAACTCACACGTTAAAAATAATGGAGCAGACTTTCAGTTGACGATAGTTGTTATTATGCTACATTTTACTATTCTGCTAAGGATTTAAACCACTATTTAACCCATGGAGAAAGTTCTCAAGAATCCACCGCGTATCACTTGAACATGCAAAATATTCGAAAATCACATTCCATCCCTTTATTCTTCATGTAAGGTATTTTCATGTGTGTTTTTTTTGTCGGGCACATTTTCATTTTGACTAGACCCTTCTCTTGTTGTGGTTAACAACGTTTATTATGATTTTACCTTAGTCATCTTAATTTGCCTGTATTGAGTTCATGTAAACTTCACCATTATCTCTAACTTCGGTAATCTATTCATGATGCTGGCAGTAGAGCCAACAGCTTTCTTTCTGATTACACTGCAACCTAGGAGTTAACGTTATAAATAATTGCAATATGATGATACTCTCTGACGCAACCGTGGGCGTTGTGGTAAAGAGCATTCAGTTACAGAATACTGGATACTCCTCTTGATTAGATGCTGCAACAATACTCAGTCAATATTTGGTATGTAACCCTACATTACACTGGTTACCAACTTGAACATAAACGTTTACTACCAATATTTTTGTGGTTTTCGAACTCTTAAAATACAAAAAATTGAGATGAAAAATTTGATATTGTGCAGAGTATTAGGAGAGCATCACTACGTGTATGTATATGGCCCAAGTTTGAAGAAATAATTTTGTGTACTGTTGTCTATTTGTTAGCTCTTGCTTGCTGGTGATACCACAGGAATCGTCTTTAAATTATCTGATTTCGGACGGGCATCCCGCGCTGGCGAAGATCGTGATGGTGATGATTTGGGTGATGGACGCTATCTTCCAAGATTAAATGATCCTAGTCCACCAGCAAGGGCTGCGACGGGACGTGACCTCTACGCACTAGGTATTACACTTTATCATTCAGTAAGTTAACTTCATGATAAAGAATTCTTTCAACCATCTTTTGAAGACTTCTATCATTTTCATTTATTTACGGTAGACGTTTTGTGTAAATTTCACGACCATTATATATATCGAAGAAATTCATGATATTTGGGTTTTATTTAACTATAAATATTCCTGTGAAAACTTTGAAGTCAGCTGTCAAGTTTAGACCAATAGGAGTTCATGACCATATGTTGTCCTACATTTACTATTGCAACTAGTGAATATCTAAAAAGAAACCAAAATTGTGTCGCAATTTTACGTGGAGCAACATTTTATGTTTTTTTAATTCTCAGTCTCACTAGTTCGTTTACCTTCTTATTTTGTTGATTACACATTAGGTTTCACTTGTAAGTCCACTTGTAGTTGTATTACTTTGGATAAAATTGGTACCGTAGGTTTCACAAATTAGATGAACTTTGATGAGCAATCGAACCTGTTAACTTCCCCGATTTGAGGGTGGAACTGATCTACGTGATGTGTACTGTATCTCGTGTCTGTATTTGGGTGGATAAATCAACTTTATTTTTTCCTAGAGCTTGCTGAGGTCTCTCAAGTATCATGCACATAATTACAGTCATAACTTTAAACAAGTTCTTATTTTGAATACTTCGAGATTACTTGTTTATAATCATATTTATTCAGATTTTTATTCTTGGTGTTGTTTTTACGATTATGGGAGTTTACAACCATTTCTACATGCGGCCACACACAAACTTATCCCTCAAGCTACTGCCAATCAAGTGAAAATCTTTGTTAAGATACCTTTTCGCAAGTCAATATTCATTTATTGATCAGTATCACTTGCAGGAAAAATGTATTCTGCATTATTGTTGTTCATGTTTACCTTTTGTTCTCATTTTAGGCGGGTGGACCTATGTCCGCATCTGTCTGGGAACGCCTTCGTGAGACAGATTGTCTGCCGGATCTTTTGGTAATGCCAGTTTCTTTGAGACCAGTTGTCAAAGTAAGCAACCGTTTTGATAACAGCAGCATGTTTCCTGCCTAATTGCTTAGTTATATCTTGGGCTAATGCAATATATTTCTGATACAAAACGAGTTACCTAAAGAATTTCAACTGGAGACTGAAAAATAACCGGTCGGTTGAGTCACTGGCCATATTCCTTCATCTTGGGCTGAGTGTAGACTTCTGAGTTCGTGTTCAGATGACCAGGACCCATAGTTGAAGAATCTAGTTATTACTTCTCAGAATCCACCGCAGTAGTGCAGATGTATCTACACATTGTCTTCATTTAACCGCATCTTATTTGTTTTACACGGTCTTCTTTTTTCCGGCCTCCGGTGGACGACTTGAATCATCCCTGCCACCGGTGAAAAATCTCACTAATTTCCAGACGATAAGTATACTGCGCTGCATTTTGCACTGTCGTATTTAAGACTGAAAAAAAGCGGTTGAAGTAAGTATGGAGAAAGACTCATTTTCAGCTAACTATGACCGCGATGATGAAACAGCAGCACAAATGTTAGACTGACTATGAGTCTTCGCATTGATGACAATCTGTGGTAGGTGGCGGGAGCGAAATGGATGGAAAAGGCATCAGCATTAGACAATAGCCGGCAACTATTTACGCTTGTTAAGGATACCGTCGAAAAGAGCACAATGGTTAGTGAGACTATTACTGAAAATGATGGGATACTGACAACCTCTTAGGAGTGACGACTAGAACTTTGGCCCGAGGACTTTATAGCATATTTCAACTGACCCACAGCAACGCTTCAGTTGCTCAGCATATAACCTGAACCTGAATGAGACATAGATATCTCTCCTTCAACTCTCAGCGAAATTGAGACGGCTGTATCAAACCTGAAACAATGACAGCAGCGGGACCTGACAGTTTGCCATCCGAAGTTCTTAAATATGGATGGATGGAAATTGCCGATTATAGTGACAGGGGGCACTAGGTAGTGTATGGTAGTTATAGTCCCATCATATTTGTCTGTTTCACTTATTATCTCAGTTTATAAGAAGGGAGAGAAGTCTTCCTGCAACAACCATAGGGGGAATAGTTTGACTAATATTGTATCCAAGATCCTTGGGTCCACAGTTATCTAATGCCAAACTGGAGCTCAAGAACAGCAACCTCGAGAAAATCAGGCAGGTTTCTGGCCTGGACGAGAGTGTATCCATCAGATCTTCATTACTTGTCAGGTTCTGGAATACAGGCATGCCTACCGGTCAATGGCCGACACTTGGCATATGTCTTGATCCAAAGGCGGCCCTTGTTGACCATGAGGTGTTGTAGTAGTGTCCGCCGGGGATGTCAACTGTCACCGTTCCAATTTAACTTCGTTATAGACGTACTCTAATGGACGTAACCCTATGTACACCTGACTTCACAGGGATTGACCTTCCTAGAGGTATATCTGGTTGATATTATTCTCCTAGGGGAAGACGCTGACAAAATACAGGTCTTGTGAACGTGTTGAGCAGAAATCTGAGTATGTTTGGCATACGCTCCGCCTATGTGAAATATATGGTGATACTCCAAGGCTGGTCTGCAACCACTTCTTTTAATGATAGGGAGTGAAATGGTGGAATGTGCCGACCACCTCACTTACTTGGGAAGTTGCATTAGTCCGAACAGGCTGATTTCTGACGAGATCTTTGCGCGGATACAGAAGACCCGTTTGGCATTAGTTAACTTGTGGTATCTGTGGCGTTGACTGGCCAGATATCCGACCATCTATCAAAGGCCGAGTATACTGCACCGCAGTTGGCTCTGTTCTATTGTACAGCTGTAAGACAGCCATTAAAAGTAAGGGACATGAACTGGTTGCAGTGTTCTGATCATAGTTGTCTTTGTACCATTGCTTGCTTGTGATGGAATCACCGTGGGAGGCAATGTTGAGGTCAGGTGAAGGATACTAGGCAAGAAAGGCAAATTGATTGACGACGTTGTGAACCTGCGTCGACTGAGATGACTTGGAGATGTACTGCGCGTGCCGAGTCACCGTCTACTTCGACGTGCCATTGTAGGGAAGTTGGATTAGGTTGGAAGAGAGTTCAGAGTGACCAGGCCAAGAAGTGTCACCAGTCGATGAAGTCTCTTACTGTTGGCGTGAGCTGTATGAGAAGAGATGTAGATTGCTTGGTTGAATCCTCGAGAGGAAAGGAATCAATGGTTGATGACTCTTGGTGAAATGGCTAAAAATAGGCTACAATGGTACAAATGTATTGACTCTTTGACATCTAGAGCTTGAAAATTCACACTACTCTTTATCTGCAAATTGTTTATCCTCTCTTACTACTTTATCTACGTGATATCACTGCTTTTCTTTTCACCTGCTTTTGTGAATTACTGTGAAGTGTTGCAGTTTGAGCTGATACACTTGTGTACGGTTCTACTTTGGTTTCTTAAGTAAGTTAAGTGATGTAGTAGTGTCAGTGCGACTGGGATATGGAACCCAAAGTCAGAAGTTAAAATAAGATTTAAACTCTGCTAAAATAGGAAGCAACTTGCATGAAGAAACTCACCAATTTTCATTTTGAGGTTTGTCTGATAACTCTATCCTAAATGGTCTAGAGTGGGCCAGCTTGTTATATCTTGTAATGTAGACCATATACAAAAAGGTTATTATGTCCAAGTTTATTAAATTACCACAGTTTGACAATGCTCATGTAAGAGAAAAGGCAGTTTACTTGTAAACTCCCCGGAAAATTCCACACCGTATACAAAAATTTCGACAAAGTGTATCTGAATTTTGCAGCCAAAATAAAAACAGCAGGTATATTCACTTCGCTGAGTCCTTATATTTAAGTCCACGTGAGCTGTGCAAGTATCAAGATCAATGGCTAATGAAAATCCTGATAACTGTTTTTTCAAAGAATGACACAAGATAGATCACTTCAAAGTTGGCTATGCTGTGCTACTCTTAAGTGATATACTATACTATATGCTAAAATTGGTTTGCAGTTGAAGCATCTTACGGAACTGATTGTATAAATGTCACACAATGACCATGAGCAATAGTGTTTAATGGAAAAATACACAATGCAGCAGCGGAGAATGATAGTGCACAGTTTAGGCTGGGGTGAAAAACCCGGAGGTTTGTGAGCAAATTGAAACTGAGCATTAACAAATTACCACATAATCTGAAACCGGAACTAGGCAGTGACTTCTCGTTTTATTTTGGACCAAAACGTTATGGCTCTTCACGCTTCGTTGGTCTACCCGAAATTCACAAACCCAATATTTCGATTCGTTCAATTGTGGATTTTGCCGATTCTTCAACATAGGACGTCTCTCAATACCTGAGAAAAACCTTTAAGCCATTACAATTGAGCATTCGAGATAACGAAAGAATGTTTAGCTTCGATAATGTTTCTCCGTGTGCTAATATCAGTTACCGGCAGCTGCTAGTTTGACGTGCTTTGCAGGCTTGCATATCACAGTGACCCAACGAACTACGCTGGTGCAACGCTTGTTCCCTCGAGATCCTGCCAGCCCAGAAAGGTCTGTTGGATAGCGGTTGGACAGAAATCGATTACCGTTGTGGCGTTAATTACTAAACTATGATGGGGGCTGGAGGTTGAAGTCGCACTCCTGCTAGCTGGATGGCGTGTGACAGCAGTAGGGTGTTTAGCTTGGATGACCAGCAGTGCCATGTTGATGCTACCTTCTCAATGGAAGGTGGAGCTAGAAAACCACGGCCCCAAAAATAACATGCTCCACCATACCCCATGTTCTACCGGACCAGTATTGCTTCACTACTTATTTCCATTTGAACATCCAGGACCAAAACAACAATTGTTTCAAATAAATATACACGAAAGGCTGAGTGTGACGGATATCAAGCAGATATCTGGTGGGTTCTACGGACACAAATCTCTTTCAGGTACCTTAAGAGGAAATAGTCTTCCACGGTATGGGCAGCGGGAAAGTGTCAACCACCCTCACAACTCGACCAGCACTCAAGTTTCTTCAGACTGCTTTCCACCTCCCCCATCATTACCTTCCAATCTTTCTTTACATCTCTCAACTGACGATACCACATCATCTTCAATTTCTCCTACCTCTGCAGTCTTCGTCAACGATCTGAGTTCACATGGCAGCATCCTTGATCTCCTTAAACCCCGCGCCAACTTACATATTGGAGCCTTCAGTGTCCGCACCCTCCATCAAATAGGTCAACAGGCTTCATCATTGGCAAAGATTCTAGCAACTAGGGCCATTGGTGTGTGCTGTGTTTGTGAGACACGCATGCAGAAGTCAAGTGGGGTTGTTCACCTGACCTCTCCTGACCAATCTGGTGAATCCGCAAAATTCACCCATCGAGTTTCTGGAGATTCGGTGGCTAGCTCTTGCGATGTTGCAGGAGTGGGCATAGCATTAAGCACTAGGGCAGAAAGCTCACTACTAGACTGGATCCAAGTTGATAGTCGCCTCTGCGCTATGAGGCTAAACGGCACAGTAAGAACTAAAAGGAATAGTGCAACTCGCCGTTGTCTCTTTGTAATCTCTGCTCATGCACCCACTGGCTGCAGTTCGGATAAAGTGAAGGACGAGTCCTACCGAAAGCTGTCTAACCTCCTCTCGAAAGCCAAACGTTCGGGCGTGGTGGTTGTTGCAGGTGACTTCAATGCACACGTGGGTAGACTGAATGAGGCAGAACAGCAGTTAGTTAACACTTTCAGAATCCCGGCTGAACGTGTTTGAACAGCGATCACGTGTTGGTCCGAGCGCGTATATGCCTGTCTCTCAATGGTCGTGGGGAAAATTTCGAAACAAAACCATCACGACAGCAGCTCTACAACGAAAACACCAAAACCGCTTTCAGTGAGACGTTGACTAGGCAGTTATCAGAACAGAACACTATTACTAATCACCCAGAAGAAGCTTCGTGCCATCTCCAGTCTGCTGTAAAAGCAGCGCCGAAAATCGTAGCCGACTCCAAAACAGTGACTAAAAAGAGCCAGTGGATATCAGTAGCTTCTTCTGAACTAATGGATGCACGTGAACACATCCCTGGTTGCAGGCTCTGAGTACAATGAAGGGCGAGCACAACTTAGGTAGGTAACTTGAAACGAGGAAGGGTGGCAGGACAAGACGGATTAACTCTTGAAGTATACAAGGATGGTGGTGAGGTAGGTGCTTTTAGTCAGGTTAACGGAAGTGTTAAGCAGTATGTGGGAATCAAATACGATCCTCTCTGACTGGTCTACATCACTGATTATCCCAGTCTTCAAGAAAGACGAGAAGTCCTCTTGTGATAACCACAGAGGAATCAGCCTGACGAACATTCTAGGTTCTACAGTTCTTCGACGCCTGAGTGGAGCTCGGGAACAGCAAGACCGAGAAAACCAGACAGGCAAGTATCAGACCTGGTCGCGGGTGTATCGATCAAATATCCACACTGCGCCAGGTCCTGGAACATAGGCACGCTTACTGACGCCCAACGCTAGCTGTATTTCTCGACCTGAAGACGGCAGCATTCGACTCCATTGTTTGGAGTACGTCACCTTATTCAAGGTTCTCTACTCGAACACTTGTGGGCGTGTTAGAGCCTATGGTGAGATGTCCAGGGAGCTATGCTCATCGAATAGTGTCTGTCGAGGCTGTCCACTGTCTCCATTCTTATTCGATTTTATCATAGATACTCTTATGGAGGTGTCTCTCTCGTCACCCGACCACACAGAGGTTGGCCTAATCACAGGAGAATTTTCGTTAGACCTAGAATACGCAGATGATATGACAAAGTCCTGTTAGGTGAAGACGCTGACTGATGAGATGCAGAGTCTTCTGAACACTTTGAGTGTCAATTTGAGAATGCTTGGGATGCGTTTCTGACCACCGAAATGCAAGTGGTTGTTCCAAGATTGGTCTTCAACGGTGCCCCACGGTGGTTAACAATGGAGATTGTAGTGGTTGAGTATGTTGACCACTTCACTTACCTGGGAAGTGAGATCAGCCGTGGTGGCTCAGTTGCCGATGAAATCTCTGCACGGATACAAGAGGCTCGGCTGGCTTTTGCCAACTTACGCCATCTGTGATATCCGATTGTCCATCAAGGGTCGCGTGTACTGCCCAGCAGTCCGGTCTCTCCTACTGTATGGCTGTGAAATATGGCCATTGAAGGTGGAAGATATGAGCAGGCTGCAGGTGTTTGACCACCGTTGCCTTTGTAATATAGGTCTCATTCTGTGGTCTCACCACGTGAGTAACGTAGAAGTCAGGCGCAGAGTTTTAGGGTGAAGAGGTAAATCAGTTGACACAGTTATGAACCTTCATCGACGGTAATGGTTGGGACATGTGTTGCGTATGCCTATTCGCCGATTTCCTCGTCACACACAATGTTGACGAAGTAGGTTCAGGCTAGTAAAAGACCCAAGACGGACAAACCAAAACATGGCATCAATGTATGAAATCTTTGACTGTTGATTTGAGCCATGTGGGGCAATGCAGATTAGCTGGTTGGGGCCGGGGGACAAGAGGAAGCAGGGGTTGGAGACTCTAGGTGATATGGCTCGGAACCGATGTCAGTGGCTCAGATGTATACATACATTATGCCTATCTTAACGACGCTATACCGAATCTCACCACTTCCTCATTCTTATTTTTTTCTTTTCGTACTGTATATTTCTTTTGACTGCATTGTCTTATCTTCATCTTGCACCTCACTGCCTTTTTACTTGATGTACAGATATGAGGTGTGGCAACTGGGACCGTTACGCAGTAATGCATGGCCCTATGTTGATATTGAGGATGATGATATCAAGACAAAAGGGAGAAAAAATTATATTGTTGAAAGTCTCAGGATGCCGTTAGAATACAGGAAGTAATTATAGTGATAATTATAATGTAATTCTATGTGTTAGTTTGAGCCACTTAATTTGAAATAGCAAGCAACAAAATGTGTTATGATAGATACTGGGAAAATAAGATGTAACTGCAGCTACTCCAGTGAAAACGATTCCGAGCCATGTCACCCAGAGCCTGCAATCATCGGTTTCGGTTCTGTTTGTTGCATCTTTGGAATTAGTTATATAGAATTATTTTATAAGACGTGTGTTTGTGTGTTTAGAAATGCAACGCTTTAGTATCCGTAGTTCTGTCATATTATTTAAGATGTGAATAGTGCGGGATCTTGTTGTTTGGGAACTACATTTCTATTTCAGTAACCGCTTACACCGAATAGGGTTAACTTGCGTGCTATATCACAGCTTAAAGGCGTGATTTAGTGAGGTTTTTTCCCCCGATCCCAAAACTCAACAGGGTAGAATGAGTATATCTATCGAATTGCAGCATACAATCTATCATGCATCTTGCTTATCTTTTGTTACTGCATAACGGTACCTGAAAGACGTATTGGAATCCAAAATATCATTGGATTTAAAGTAGAACTGAATCTGATGGTAATCTTGCTTTTTAGTACATCAGTTGTCACCTATGTTGTGCAAAGTTTGTTTTTCATATAAATTAGTAGATATAAAATCAGCTTTGGTGTGTTTTGTCAATCAACAGCCTGCTTCAACGGCGATTTTATTACTTTTAGCGCTGAGCATTTCTATTGATCAGTCGTGAAGGTTAACATAGTAATCAACTTGGATTTTTAAAAAAAAATCTTACACGTATGATTGGATTTAATACTTGTTTTGCTACACTATTTTAGAGTCTTCTACGCCCTCTTGCCCAAGATAGACCAACTGCATCTGAACTCGTCAATTATCCCCTATTTCGTCCTCATGTTAATATACGCTCGGATGGTAGGTTCTTATTTCTAAGTTATTTTCCAGTCATTTGTACTACTGGATCTGATTGTTCCCATACACTTTTCGTTGCTTATTTTATTTCGTTTGAGTTTTTGTATTTGATGGGGTGAAGTTCATAATTTCGGTCATGATTGTGATGCGTCTTCTTGTTTTTAAATTTAGAATTGGCATGAGCACGTCACAACTCACTAATCATACGCACATTCTACCAATTATATGACTCTTCATACCATAGTGGTCTATATATCCTTCAAACCCCTTGACTAAAAGTCTACTTCCTAAGCCAATAAGTCGTTGTTTCACATGGATTTAAACTGCTTAGTATTTGGTATCATGATAGTTAAGAATCTTACAGGATTATTTAGTTATTGAGCAGTACTCTGCGTTGTTTAGGGCTGGGTAGTAAAATATTAAGTCAATTTGCTCAGTGAAGATAATCATATGCATAATTCCTTCAATCCACTACTTCTGCTTGGTGTTTTGTGTGGAATTTACAAACAAACATTTACTTTTAATATTGGTAAACTAAATGTATTCAGTGGTTCTTAAATTATTTTCAAATAATTATTTGCATATTTTGTAATCAAAGTTAACATTTTGCATTGTTATGTCACCTGGCCTATATCATGGATACTTTTTGAGGACCATCCACACAAGTAGTAAAACTTTGGTTATCACCACGGTATTTAGTACCTTCAGGTGGTCTTACTTAGTTGACTTTCAGCGTATGGTTTTCGCTGAACACACTTCTAACAAGCTCAATCCCTTACGATTGCAACAAATGTCCGTTAATGGGTATCTTTGGTGTTCTAGGTTGTGATGCATGTCTCATCCACCCATTTATTATTATCCAAGCTTCATAGCAGTTTTCATAACCTACACCGAATCGACTAGCAAAAATATGCAGAGGAAATAACGTAGAGATGCACTATCCAAGTAATTAACTAATCACATGTATTATGCCACTTATGCAATGAAATAAAATACTATCATTGAAAATCCAGGGTAAATTTCTGCAAAAATATGTAATAAAAGATAATATAGCACAGAGCTATAGGATTGTCGTTCGTTTATGCATTGATACGACTTTCCGTCAGATAGTATCAGTAACCCACGCAGTATATGACTCAGGCTGATACTGAAATCTATACTTGGTCGATGAATTATATTTATTTTATTATAAAAGGCGAAACTTGACAAGGTATTGAGTAGAGCTAAATAATAATGGTAAGCCGGACTAGATGGGCTGGATTGGAAGTATTCACGAACGGTGCCCAGCAGGAACCACAGGACAGAGTCGACGACTTGATAGCCTAGACAGCCAGATCTCATGCTGATAGTAATTAACTAACCCTGCTCGAGTATCAGCAGGTTTTTTCATTGGAAATCGCCTACTTTTGATCTTAGCAGTTGAGTTGTAGTCCTAAGCCTCACATAGGTTGTGTGATGTCAAGCTCACAAATCTGTAATCTTTTACCAGGTTGCATTCGCCACTGAAGCTGTTTGCGCTATAGCTGTTCTCGGTTTTTCCCAGTGAAGACTTTTCAGTAGTTATTAGGTTCCTTGACTTTTCTTGTTGTCGTCACCTCAAGGACAAATATACTGCTTTAAATGTTGATACACTTGACTCATAAGCAATGCAGATTGCTGTACTGAGTTGTTATAAGTTCAAGTAGTGTTACTGGGTTGCCAAATTTTGAGGTTGGTGAGGGGAAGTTTCAATTCGCAGTGTCCTTTGGTTCTCGTACCCAAACCACTTACTGACAGCGGTACAAGAAGGCAAATTACTGCTACTGACAAGCTTTTTGTAACTACTATCCACTCAGTTTGACATCTACAAATGTTATTTAGTACTTCATTTATATATTTTTTTAAACTATAGTCGCATATCTTTTGATATATATATTAACCTGTTCGACGTACATTACAAAGCCAATTTTCCGTTTATTTTAGATCCTTGTCCATTGTTGGACGTTGGTAGCAGTAGCTGAGTTTGTGGTCTTGCTTTTTCGGGTGATTATCCAATTTGAACACTTATTTGCCATTCCTGATATTTATTTCTATAATAATGAGTTCATCTAAACATTGATATATTCATCATCATTCTATTACAAAAAAACACTCACATAGAGTATTTCCTTACTTGCGTATTCTTGAACTATTCTAACGGTAAAATGTTTTTGAATAAAAAATTCTTGCTTATTGGATGAACAGTAACCTTTTTCGTTGTGTTCTACCGATTTTTGACCAACAGTTGTTACTTTAACTGGATGGTTGAACTTGCATATCTTCAGTGGCTGGAACATTTGTCCTTGAGTATTGTATCTTGCTAACACCATCATTCTCAGTTTCCACTACTTCTTACCCTGCAATTTGCTAATTATCTAAACCAGCAAAACAACATTCCTAGTCTCCTAAAATCACGCTCCCAATCCCAACTGCCGGTCCCTCTACTAAATAAGATGCCATGTCTCACTAGGTGAAATGGTCGAATCGTGATCCATGGATATGTATTTTTTCCGGACAATCATTCACGCAACAGATAAGTGGTGTTATCTACTTGATTTCATCTGAATGTTGCAGAATTCGTCTTAAGAGTGTCCGGAGACTTGGTGACCTGTTGTTAATTTTCTGGTTCAGGGATAGCATCGAATTGTAGAACATGAAGCTCACTACTCATTTAGACTCCCATTAGTAGTTGTCTATGGAACTATGGCTCAGCGGTTTAAGATGACTATCAATCAATGGGTCTCGGGTTTGAATCTTGCTCCACCTACCGAGGTTTGGGCAGCCATGTAGTATCACTAACCCTCACCCAATGAGTGTATCTCATTGGCTACTGCATGGATGTATACAAGGTGACAGTGCGTTTCGTTCGTAATGGTTATCTGTGTGATGTCCGGAGAAGTAGGTGTATAAAAATGAAAAAGACCCAAGCATTCATCGGTCTGGTATTTATATTCTGTCTACTCACTCAAAGACAGAAGTGTGGAATATGTTAAATGCATCTTGACAAAAGCTATCAATTTTTCTATAAAAAGCGGAACCTTCAGTTATAGTCTTAACATAAAGAAATTGCTTTGCCTAAGCAGGTGAACCAAGCCAACCAAAAAGGCATCATTAGGGTACCCACGAATCGATATTAATGGTTGTTACCTAAAATTTCGACCATTACTTGTTTCTAACCAGGACTAATTTTAAACACGAGTAACATTGTCTCAGTTGGCTGCTGGCATATACTCAGTAGTGAACATGTGAAGTGACCGGGTGAATAGTAATAATAATACATCAGCGATGAGACATGGGCTAGATGCGAATAGACACTTTCCCCTCAAAACCTCATACTCCACTGAGCCGCAAAAGGCAGAAAGTAAAGACCGACCTGTAAGAAAGACACTTAATTTGACAAAAAGATATACAGCTTTCATGAACATGTGGAAACATGAGGTCAAAAGTCAAGTGACTTATTTTGATCGGTCAACTGTATGATAAGTTGTTGGATAAGGTTTGTCCTGACTACCCGGTGACGAAACAAAATTTGGAACCCAAACTTTCTACTTTAGCGGTTGTTGACTTCCATTTAGGCTGATTTGTATGAACATGTTCCTATACGCCACGAGTGAAAGATAATTACGTCATTCGGTGTACATGTTTTGACCTTCGGGATTCGTTTTTTTGAACACTTCTCACAGTTGAGTGGTTCTGAAACTACTCAACCGTGATAACAACAGGGTTTACGTTGGACAGATCCCAACCAAGACTAGAAAATGAGCGATGTTGTTCGGTAGTGTATTCAAATTATTTCAGGTACTGACTAGTGTTTTGGAATAAGGGGTGTCCTTATCAAAGTGAAGTAGATCGTTGATCATTGAACTTTATAAGAAAGGTGAAAATTGCTGTATTAATCACATGGAAATCAGTTTAACCTCGTGTCTATGATCCTGATGTTCATCGTTATATCGCCTGAATGAAGCTCGAGAGCAGCGGTCTCAAGAAGCCGATAGATTTCAGGTATGGCGAGTCGTATTCATACTCTCATTGCTCGACAGGTTCTATGCTATGGACATAGTTGTCACACCTCACCAGTTACTGTATTTCCCCTCCTGAAGGCAGTGGGTCGATAGGTGTTTAAGTAATACCTGACTGAAAAGAGTATCAGAAAAAGTATATGATTGTTAGTCAAGACTCTTTTCTCATAATCATGCAGTCGTGTGAAGGTTTACGGAGAGCTGTCTTCTGATGTAACGACAATCAGTTGTGTCCAAAGAGATGTCTACTGCAGCCATTCTTATTTAAGTTTACTACAAAAAATTTAATGGGTTTTTCCCTACGCACCATCAAATAACTTATTACCGAAAGGGAACCTGGAAGACACCGGTGAGATGCAGGGAAATCTGAGTTTCTTAGGTAAAAGTCTGAGTATATTTCGGATGTGTCAAATTTTAGGTTCTACTTCAGGATTGGTCTGCACCTATTACTGGTTCAAAGACAAACAGTAACTGAAGTGGTGATGTCCTTTCGGAATTTGTGCAACTGGACTGATTGCTGAAGAAGTGGAAATGCGGATGTGAAAGACCTCGTAAAATGAACGATCTTAGTAAAGGGAATGTTTCTTTTTAATATACAACTAAGGTTCGAAGGTGTGAATTACCAAAGCTTCAGCTGTACATAAATGTCTAATCGTCACTCCTTTGGAACGGTTTCGTGGAACATTGTAGAGAACTTTGAACGAGATTTCCAGATATCAAGAGTCCACGAGATGTTCAACGATAGAGCTGTAGATGGTTTTGTGCTTACTCTTCAGCAACCATACTGGGTAGTGTTCGCGTGCGCGTAGTACGGCTGACGTACTCAGCTTAACAGGAACAAGTGAACTTGTAAATACATAGTGATGAGGTCCAGTACGCCAGCTTGTCTCCCACGCACTGACGACTCAGCTGTTGACATGGGGAAACAATACGGAGGTTTGCAGCGTAGAATGTTCTATTTAGGGATTTCGGCTGACGTTGACCAAGGATATCCGCAACAGCATGATGTTTAAGTGTGAGGTTTACTAAAAGTATTCTCTTCAAAAGTGTCTGGGTCTGTTCCAGTCTTCTTTTCATTCATACTTTTCCCTATAAATCTGGATGGGTAGCCACTCTGTAACTGTGCTTCTTGGAGGGTTTCTAATTCTTGAGTAAGTGTATCACCACTGCATATCTTTCTTATTCTCGATGAGAGTGAGCGCACAAGATTCCCCTTCCTACCTAAAGCTACTCAACTTTGAAATGTGGTCAGTTTCCCGTTCCACGTGGTCTTTCTGTAGATAGACCTTTGAATGCAACTATCAGGCCTTTTTTGGAGTCTGACGTCGAGGAAATGAAACGTTGATTTGACTCAGTTCCTCGCATAAATTTGAGTGAAGGGTGGTTGTCGTCTGAATCTTGAAGGAGGCGTGTCAGGTCCAGGTCACCACAAACAATGAAGGCATCATTCATTAAGTTGCTGTAAACATGAAGTTGACGGATTGTCGGGAGCAATATGCTATTCTCAAGGCTAGCCATGAAGCAGTTGGCAAGTAGAGGTCTGAGAGGCGATCCCATTGCTACACCATCGATTTGTCTGTAGATTTCGTTATTCGGTCTGAAGTGAACGTTGTATATACATCATGGGTGAAGTTCTTTCAAGAAGTGGTTTGGTGAATGGACATTTAGAATTCTAGATTGGATGAAGTTGCATAAACAGCAGATTGCTTTTGGTGACAGTACGTTTGTGAATAATGACACAATGTCTGATGAAATCATTCTTCTACGGGACAGATTAATATCTCTGATTGACTCAGTAAACTCGAACGTATCAGAAACACCGTGTTCCAAGAGCTATTTCTTTACTAGCTCAAGAATTTGCATGAACCATTTTGCACTTATGTGTTGTGGGGAGTTTGTCATGGAGAGGGATGCCATCTTTGTGCAATTTCTACAAACCATACAAATGTGGAGTAATACTGGCAAAGAGTGAAGTTGTTCGTGGAGACCACTGCTAATGATTGATTCGTCTTTGATCTTCTTCAGCAGTTTAGAAAGTTGCTTTTCTGTTTGTTTGGGTCTTTTTGATTCATTGGCTTAGAGAATTTCTTGCCATCTGGCAAAATTAGTGAAATCTTGTTAACATAGTCGCACTTATTCAGCAATACTGTCCCGCCACCTCTGTTTGAGATCGTGATCACTACTGTCTGCTGTTAAGCACAGTTATGTTGTTCGAAATGAGGCGTCGAGTCCTTTAATTTACACGGGTGTGAACTTAGTGTGTTTGCCACCCTTGAAAATACTCTGATACTGTGTGTTTTAAGGATACATATTGTTTCTTCTAGTGTGGATGTTCGTTAAGGAAGTTCTTGTAGCATTTCATTTCACCATATTGTGTTGATTTATGTAGCAACTCACTGAACATTTTCTGCTTAGTTGTACCGATAAAAACTCTCTTTTCGCTCGCTCGTTGACCAATATAACATCCTGATATATACTTCGCGTTAACTTCTGATATTTGCACTGTCTGATGCAGGTGGATCAGCAGTGTCGGGAATTATAAACAGGCGACAGTGTGTCTGGAAGCGTATGTAAATTTGGAGTCATATTTCAGAGTTTGACAAACTGGTGAGCCCGGCGTGATTAAACTATCGCAAGTTTGCTGGTGGATATTATTATTGTTGTTTTCAACTGAGTACTGTTACCACAGTCATTAATAACTGTATGCAATACGGATATATATATATATATATATATATATATATATATATATATATTATATATATATATATATATATATACTGAGAATATCTCCAGCTGCTTTGTGTTATGCATTGACATACTTGCTTATTGTATTTTCCCTACTCTTGTTATTTTAAGTTCTTAAAAATTCTTTTCGCTGTACCAGTACTGTTGTTCATAAACTGTCATAATCAAGACTTTTCGAATTTAGGGTCCGTGGGTGCCATTAATCTTCCTATGCC